AATCCAATTCATAGGCAATAATGTAATATAATACATTATTTTATATATATATATATATATATTATATTTATATAGTTACAACCGGCCCTTTGAGTGCAACCTTTATGCGACTGTGGCCCGCGATGAAATTTAGTTTGACACCCCTGCTTTAGACTAAGAGGGAGTGAGTTAATTAGAATTGATCTTTATGTCTTTATGTCTTTATTAGGATCCCCATTAGCACTAGCATGAACATTGGCTATTCTTCCTGGGGTCCTCACACACACAAAACATATATAAACATAGATACAACAAAATTAAAACAAAACAAAACAGCTCATAATTTCATGCAATTTACAGTGCTGTATGAATTGAAAACTAAAATAGTCATCCAATTATCGCCATCCTAAGGCCAAACAAAAGTAAATACAAATAAGTGTACATAATAATATATGCATACATAGCCACAGGCACAGTTCAAATGTACTTTATAATACTTCAATAATTTGTTAGCAACCTTTTCAAATGTACTTGAGAATGTTCCTGAATGATATGGTAAAGAGTCCCAACTGACCATGGCTCTGTACATGACTATTTTCTGTCCCATATTTGATTTAGATTTGGGTAATACGAACCTTCCTTCTATTGCATGTCGTGTTTGATAGTTATGTTGAGTATACTGCGCTATAAACCTATGTGATAATATCTGTTTGCAATACCTTATGCCCTTTGCTTACTTAAGCGATAACAAAGTAGTAATTTTGATCCGCGGTTCCACCACCAAACTCTGAATCATAGGCTCTTTTTAAAAGGGCAACATACTGTCGTGTGTTGTGAGGCATTATCAGTTTGAGCTGGAAAATCCCACCATCAAATCTAAAAAGTGGCGTAGAGGCCAAGCCAGTGGAAGCATGTTCTCTTGCAGGCTGTCTCATTGGATTATGGCTAATCAAAGCCGAGCTCCAGTATTAATGCGGTGGTGATTTATTGATGTTAAAATGCTATTTGTAGCCCTTTCATCTTAAGTGGCTATCCTCTGATTTGAAAAATATGCTTTCTGACATTCTAAAAAACTTACGGATGCGCTATGTAAAAGTTGCCTTTGACAACCAAAGTAGTACAGATTAGGGCTGCTCGATTATGGCAAAAATCATAAACTCGATTATTTGAGTCAATAATTGTAATTGCAATTATTAAATTCGAATATTCATTCATTGACTTTGAAAACATCCATTTTTTGGAGAATTTTTTTTTGAACAGTATGTTTTTAACAGTTGATTACCCTAAAATGTAAATATAATTCAACTGAAAAACCAAAAAAAAAGTAATAATAATAATACAAAAATAATCGTTTTATTTCGATTACGTTGTTTTCGTAATCGTTGCAAGCCATAATCGTAATCGCGATTTAAAATAT